GTTATGTTATCCAACGATACACCAATGCTCCTTACATGTGATAGGGTCGCATGCCAATGTACTCATTGTGAATTGAAAAAAAAAGTCCTAAACTGAAAATGAATTTATTACACTAACCTATAGCTTAGTCCAGCCTGCTTTAAATATGATCCGAACACTTACATTAGCCCGCAGTTGAGCGTAATCACCTAGCACAAAGCCTACTTTGTAACCAAGGGTTAGATTCCTGATGTAGTTTATTGAAAAACAGAATGATTGTCTGAGTACTTTTTTTCTGTACCATCATAGTTAAAAAACCTGAAATCAAATCGTCACAAGTTGGGAGCATCTGTGTGTCTCACCATTGCAGGTGAGCACCTCTTCTGAAGCACATTTTAGCCTACACAGTTGCATCCTCTTCCTACCAGTTGTTGGCTGTGGGTGAAAAATGAACTGCTTTGAATGCTGTTCAGAAACAGCTTCCACTCAACTTTTCGTTTCAGCCCCAGGGTAATCCTGTACAGCTGATATTTGGAGTCATATTTTACACAAGTCAAATGATCATAACACCTGGGGCTCAACAAAGCTGTGTCCTTCCCAAGGCCACACAGCTAAGAAGTGAAGAAGTTGGGATTCATATTCATATCTTCCGTGTTCTTGATTGAAACTGTCCTTATCTCCACACTATTCTGTTTTACTGGGGGTAGATTTTTACTGCCTCCTCCCAGGCATCCCACAGCACAAAGGATTTTCTGCAGGAGTGCTGTAAAATGAATTAAAAGAAGGATACAATGTATATGTGCCAAGATAGGGTCAATAGCATGCTCTAGAAAATGTCATCCTTGCTTCATATTTTGTTTCATTCTTTTCAAATGTTGTTCTGAATTCCTCTTCCTTCCCGTTCTACCCAAGGTGTCAGACAGATGTGAAAATACCACAGAACTCCAAGTCTCAGCATTGGTTTATGATTCACGATGGGGATGGGAAAAAATAATGCAGGATATCACCATGGTGATGCCCGTGTGTGGAGGCAACGTGGCAGATGATGTGCAGCACAGACACAGACGTGGGTAAAGGCAGCAAAAAGCCTTTCCTCTTGGGGTTTGCAAAGAGGCTCGGCATTCCCACTGGCCCCGTCTCACTGGGAGATGGGGCAGAAGATATGCCATCTTGGCTGGAATTGAGGCAGCAAAGCCACCAAGAATGTGCCTTTCTTTTTTTTCAAGGCATGGGGATAGGAATTTCTGTTCTGTCATATCCTATTTGTTTATGTGTCACCCGCCCCCAGTATATAACATGACACAGTAGAATATGCTTAGACAGGCAGTAGGATGTGCCAAAAACCTGCCCTCTGCCTTCAGAGAGATGAGGTTCCAATTTCAGGCTTGACATTTACTAGTGTGTGACCCCATGGCAAGTTCCTTTGTGGGTAAAAAGCTTCTAAAGGGCAGGATAGGGGAGACTGAACTTCAGCCTCCTCATGTAAAAACTGAGGTAATCGTCCCTACCATAGATGAGTGCAGCCTGGATTAGAGAAAATGAACTCAGAGTCCTTAGCACAGTGCTTGGTGTGTAGTATGGATTCAGCAAATAGCAGCTCCTGACAAGGCTGACCCACAGAATTTTTATCTGTTGAAGGAAGGAAATAATACCTACCTGTCAGGACTGTTGCAAAGACAAGCAACATGAAAGGATTTGGCTGCTGTAACATACAGTTCCCAAATCTGGCTTAGGAGTTATTTGTGCAACATGCCTGTGTCTGCTCTGGGTCAATGGGAAGGATGGCAGCAGAGCTCCATGGCTGTGTCCACAGGCTCAGCCTTTTTCCGTTCCCTGTCTAGACCATCTTCCACTGGTGCTACCGAATCAAGATCAAGATGAGGGACAAGGAAGAGTGTGGAAGATTGGGCGGGAAATTCTCCTGCTCAGGCATGAAGGCAGCGTGCATCACTTCTGCTCAGTGGTCCAGCCAGACAGAACCATGGAAATAGGTGTCGCAAAAATGCCGTGATGCAGAGGCAGTGAGAGGGAGCCCCTCTTGCTGCTGTCATTCTATTTATCAGCCACAAAATACAGCTCTCCTTCTCTATAGGAAGACAGCGTGCCAACAGGCAATCTCTTGGGGGAAATTCATGTGGAGTGGAGGCATAAAGTTTGGGGCACAGGATGGTCACTTCGCTCAGTGAGTGGAAATGTGAGAGTGTGGGTAGAGGAGAAGCACTTCAACTAATTCCAGTAATCATAGCTGCCAGGCTTGAGTATTTGACAAGTAGTGTGCATGCGTTGTCTCATTGAACCCGTCAAGGTTGCTGAGCTCAACATTACCATCCCACCATTGTCAGTGGAGGAACCAAGCCTCAGAAATGCAGAGACCTGCTCTGACATCATTTCACAGGAGGCTGGGCAGGTATTTAATCTCAAAACTGCTTGCTTCTGAAGCTCAGCCTCTCACACATTGACTCTGAGCCTGGGGAACCCCAGAACACTTTGTCCTGCCATGTCCTCAGCATTTCAGCCACACAGTCTGTGCTCTTTCCCATGATAAATATTAATTGAAAATATTGGTGCTGCAGCCGCCAGCACAAGCTGCTGTGATACCATGCTGTGTCCTGGTAATTAAGCTCTTCGTTGCATCGTCATGTTTGCAGTTGTCAAGGTCTGCAGACATCACCCCAGTTCCAATGGGTGGTGAGAACACTGTGCTGTGTGGCTGGGGCTCACACAGACTCCTCTCTGCCTGCTGGTGTCCATCTTGCACCAGCCAAACTTCTTTATTTGCCAATGTACTTCATGTTCTTGCTTTAGCAACACTCCACTTAGCCTCAGATGGCTCAGTCTGCCTTCTCCTTCACAGGATAGCTAGAAAACAACTTGGATGGTGGTCCAACTTGGATGGAAAACTGGATGAAAAAGAGAGGTGGTACCTAGGGAGGTTACTCGGGGACTCATACAATTTTTATTTTAGTAGTCTTTCTTTTGGTTTCTTTCTTATTATTTGGGAGTGTTGAGCTCTATCTCCAGTCCATTGTACTTTTTATGTTGAGACAGGGTCTTGCTAAGTTGCCCAAATTTAGCAGTTGCAAACAAACTTTTAATCCTCCTGTATCAACCACCCCCGGACTAAGTAGCTGGGATTACATGCATGCACCACCATGCCCAGCAATTCTAGTATTATTTTTGGTATCAGGGAGTGATCCCTTCTCAAACTTGAATGATCCTCTTACAAAGTGACATAATATGTTTCCTTTATCAAACGTATAACTTCCGAGTCTTTCTGGGCCATAACGACTTGACAAGCAAAACCAAAGAAGTGGTGGACATTTGGATGGGGATCCATTACTGGGAATGCCTCTTAGTACAGTCATGCACCCCATGATGACATTTTGGTCAGCGATGGATTGCATATATCGCCATGGTCCCATAAGCCTGTACCTCATAGTGACACTGTATATACTCCATGATGTTTGGGTGACAGTGAAATCCCTTAATGACACATTATCTGGAATAAGGCCTGCCATTAAGTGATGAGTGACAGTATATAAATGTCCAGGAAAAGAGTATATCAAATTTACAGTTATCTTACAAATTCTAAGGGCCAAAAACCCTGATAAGTTTCTCATAAGGAAGCTATGCATACTATATAACAATTAATTGTTTAGCATCCATACTAAGAATTATAACATGTCACTCGTGATCTTTTTCTGCATCCAGTAGTCTTAGATGGTTTTAGTGAACACTAGATATTTGTACAGTTGTTCATGGATCACTCTTAAATTCAGTTTTTCTTTAACTCTAGTTTTCTACCCTCGTGGTATCTCCCTTATGGTACACACCACAACCATAAGGATTTCAGCTTTTCCATGGCAAATTCTTCTCTTAAGGGCCACATTCAGATACCTAAACTTGCAAATGAAGCAGAAATAATCCATGCATCTGTCTTATTGTATGAGATTAGCAAAGTTACATCTGCTATGTGCTGGGCACCTACTCTGCTCTGTTGTGCTATGCAGTTAAATGAGACATGGTCTTTGCCCTCAGGGGGTTTGCAAACTAGCTGGAAAAGAGACAAGTTCGGTTGGTCTTACGGAAAAGGTTGTCTTACCTATTAGTGTCTAGCTATGTACCAAACTCCGTAATAGTTCATTTTGGTTTCAAGTGATAGAAAATCCAATTCAAGCTGGCTTAAACCAAAATACAAAGGAGATAGCATAGACTGGTTCATATAATACCAAAAAAAAAAGAGGTACATGGCTTCAGGCTTAAGTGGATCTAGACACTCATAGAATAGCATGAAATCTTGTTTTCATCTACTTAAACAATCTTTTTCGGGGGCAGATTGGTACCGAGGATTAAACCCAAGGCCTTCACACTGAGCTATACCTCTAGCCCTTTTTATTGTTTAGTTTGTGGCAAGGTCTCACTAATCACTAAGTTGCCTGAGCTAGCCTCAGATTTGCAGTCTTCTGCTTCACTCTTCCATGGTGCTGAAGTTATAGTAGTGTGCCACCATGCCCAATTCCTGGAATACTGTCTTTTAGTGGCAACTCATCTTTTATTGGACCCCTGAGAAGTTTAGCAGAGTTATTGTTAGTTTAAGTCATACATTCATTCCTGAAACAATTGTTGTGGTCAAAGGGAATGAAGATGCTTGTAAGCTTGGCTTGTATCAGGTACCCATTCTTGGAATCCCTTGCATTGGAAAGAGGGGTCAGCCCCCATGTGTATGTCATGATCTGAAAAGTAGGGGAGGTGGACATGCCGGAAAAAGTTTGTTACTTAAAGAAGGATCCACAGAAGCCAGACAGGCAGAGAAATATAACAGAGCTCTGCTACATACATAATGAATGGCCTATTCCATACAATATCCTTAAGGCTACTTGGGCATGCTCAAGGGATATCATTAATCATTGTAATTGCCTTCCCCTTGACAAGCAACGTCCCTCCAGTCCAACCCAGTCTGGAGTGAATAGACCATAAATGTAACCTGCAAAAATCTGACCTGAATTTGCTCTCCATTGCAGTGACCTGGACAGAAATAACATCACCAGGATTACCAAGATGGACTTTGCTGGGCTCAAGAACCTCCGCGTCTTGTAAGTAGAAAATGATTCTCTAATGCATTCTCATTTTCAGCTCTTCAGCTTTGTGAAAATGCTCTGCTGCCCCGACATCACACTCTGAAGCACTGGGCTACTGGAATCCACTGTTTGGCAGCAGAAAGCCCTTCATTACTGTACCCAAGAGCTCACAGGTATCACCTTCTGTGTCTGGATGCTGCCAGCTGGGTGAGATCGATGGGAGAACTCAGTTCCAGTGGCAGGGAAAACAGAAGGCTATAAATGAATAAATCAACATGCCCAGCTTACAGGTTGACAGCAATGTCAGGTTGACTAACCGTGCTTCCCTTCCATAGAGATTATAATTTCTTCTCCAGCCTGTTCACAAAAAGAGCAATCAGGACAAACGTTATTTATCTTGGTGCTTAGTGGGGAGGAGAGAAAAAGGAGAAAGGGGGCCAGACAGGGTCAGAGCCCATGCTGAATATTCACAGCTGTGCAGACAGGTAGCAAAATTTTAGATCTATATTGACAGAGCAGCGAGGCAAAGAATATTTGGTTTCTTTGCTGAATTTTGAACACGTTACCTCTCTTTAAGTCTGTGAATAGTAAGAAACTTCCGCAAGTGTCCATTGAATAGTCCAAGACATTCAGAGAAGTCCAAGAGAGGCGCCATTGAAGCCTTCTTTTCTCAGCAGTTGATTTTGACCCCAAAGTGTGCCCTGCAGAGCAACCTGGGCACTTTGGTCACTGCCTCGGTGTCATTTTGTGTCATGGACTCTTGGCTGGCAAATCTTTACTAAAAGTAACAGCTAAAGTGTTCATGCCTGAAGCCACCTCTTTCTTTTACTAATAGAATTTTGCATGCGGACCAGGAAGTATCAGATTCTCGTTTGATTTGGGGTTTACTTCCCGTGCTCCTTGAGGCAAATCCCTACAGTTCTTTCAGGCTCAGTTTTCCCATCATCAGTCTTTTCATCTCATGTAGTTACACACAGATTGCTTTATGGTTTATCGTAAACAGTATATGATTATTCTCAGTAGCAGTTGTGACATATTACCTTTATAACATTGTTTTCCTTATTTGATAAGTGTTATTAATGATGACGATAGCAACCAATGTGTACAGGATGCTTTGCATGGACTAAGCACAGTGTTTTGTAGTGGTAACATATGAGGTTGTCATCATTATGAGCCCCTATTGGCAGCAGAGGGGCACAGAGCACAGATAGGTTAGGGAGTCTCGGCTCTTCATTGCGGGTGACCCAAGGAACTGGAATCGGATCCCAGACTATGTGCCTTCTAACATGCATGTAGTGCAGCTGTGTATATGCATTCTAAAAAGTGTAGGCAGTAAAAGGGCACCCAGTTTGAAAAATTTGGCTGGTTCTAGGAATATTGCTCAGTGATAAAGTATCTGCTTAGTGTGTTCAAGTCCCCGGGTCCAGTCCCTCGTACTGAAAAGTAAAAAAACATAGGGCTGATGTTCAGGGTTCACCTGAGTCTTGTTGAGTGCCAGGGTGTAGAAGATATGGGGGTCTGAGTGCTGGGCCTCCAGCTACTACCAGTTGCTCCACACTGAAGCTTTTTCCTGTCTTTGATCTTGAACATGACGCTTTCATCGTCCTGAGAGAAGATCCACCCCATGCGAGTCATTCTTCTGCCCCAGCAGCTCTGCATCTGTCCAGTGACTGGCAGCTCTGATGAGGTGTCTGCTGATCACACTGGGATTAGGCTGGGGAATTCCGTAGTTCAATTTAGGGTGATTTTTATGGAAGAAATACAAGCAGTAGATCTTGCTTCTGGGCCATTTGCCCAGTTTTAAAAAATAGGTATTTGTTTAGCTTCTAAATTTTTTTTCAATTTCTTCCCCTGCATCTGTGAGAGATTTCCCTTCATGTAAATAACAACTTTTACCTAAGAATTCATTTTCTAACCCAGTCAGAAATAACCCTTTGATTTTCTTACTGTTATATCTGAAAGGCTAAGACAAATTCCAATATTCTTATCTTCTCTCTGCAAATAGAAGCTTTAAAATAATCATAAAAGATCATATTAATATCTTCTGGATGGTCTATGATACTCCTTTGACTACAGTTTATCTTTTCAGTTAATTGGTGCATTCTTCTTATTTTGATAAGCAGCACCAAAAAGCCTTTTACCCCTACTTTATAGACTATTCATGTGCTGTGTTTCCTTATACTGCTTATCAACTCAAAGACAGTCTCATTCCAGGGGCCCTTTCTTACTGTGAAAGAGTCTGTGATATGGAGTAGCTGAAGTGCTTTCTAACACCAGTAAAATACCCAAACATGTTCACCCTGTTTTCTCTCAGTCTAGTCTTTTTAGCTAAGCAATCTACATGACTCTATTTTTTTTTTTTTAAGCTTTCATCACATCTTGGCACATTTCCCATATCTGCTTCTTATTTACAATGTTTAGTGAAGCCAGAAAATACTCAGTCGTCTTGAATAACTTGAGCTTGCCTCCCATTTCCCCGAAGAACTGTTAATATGGTGCAGGTGAATCGGTGAAAGCAAACGAAACAGAGATTGGTACCCTTCAGTTCCATCCTAGGGTAATTTTCCGGAAGTGAAGTGTATTCAAGGAGGAGAAATAAGACTTGCCCATGATAGTTATTTCTCCCATGGGTGGGAGTAGGAAAAGATCTCTTCTGGTGGTATCAATTGTATTCCTTTTCTTAGTAATCTATTTAAGGGCTCTGCTGTGCTTACAATGTGGGATCCAGCTTTATCCCAAATGGGGTTAATAAAAGAATTAAACCCCGCCTCCACCATCATCATATGAGGGCCATTTCCGATTCTGATCCAGTGTTAAAACTGAAAAAATAACAATACTAAAGAGCTGAAAATGAACACAGTATGTGCCCCTCTAACTGAGAACAGACTCCAACCATTGGCAGCCCCTTGGGGAACCCAGCCCTTTCTAGATCCCCTGCCCTATCTGCTCAATAAAATGAGGGTGGTAGCCATGGGTTTCATGCATGCCCTTGGCTTGCACCTCAATTTAGGAGGTGGGATGGGAGAGTGTGATGGCTCCTCCAGTCGCTGATTCTTTTCCTTGCCAAATGGTGCTTCTTTATTGAGCCTTTGAGTGCCAACCTGGGCTCCGATAGATCTAGGAAGTAGATCTCAGTGGGGCTCTGCATACCTTTCTGACACATTAGAGATGACACGTGAAGCAAATGAGGAGAGCTAAATAAAGAATTACGTACAAAGGTGTGGGCAGAGTAAGAGAAGTGCAGAAGAGGTGGTGCAGTTGGGATGGCCGGGAGCCACTGTTCCTACTGGGACTTCAGAGTACGGGGAGCAGGTGGTTACCAATGTCCAGCACAGCAGGGACTGCCTGACGGTGCCTGTGGCCTTAGGTAGAGGGACAGAGTCAACCTGAAGGAGCTTGGCCAGGTGAGAGGAGAATAAATCCCCCACTCTCACAGCCCTCTTGTGTTCTCCCCACCTGCTGCTGATTCCTACAGGTTAAATCCAGCAGGAAACTGGAGGTCAGGCGCTTCCTGAGGAAGCCATGAAAGGCAGCCTTCCAAGGCCCCAGCGAGGTGGAAAAGGAGGAGGAATCACATAGGCACATATTTCTTGTCTCCCTTTTCTGAGAGAAGCTAATAGTGAGAGTTTTGTGAGTACAGAACTAAGACACATATCGCAGAAGACTGGAATTAGGCTCCTTCAGAAACCCAGAGGCAGTGTGACCCATAGCCCCCTTACAGTCAGTCACTTTTCTAATTGGGAAATAATGAGAGCAAGCTTTGTGATTGATTGATTGATGATTGATTGACTGATTGTAAAAGCCTAATGGACAAACTCCCAGTCACTACCACTGTACCGGCTCACTGTTTAGCAAGATGTGTTAGCGTGAACCTGTTAGCCTTCCGAGGCGTCCTTGCCACATGGCAAAGTGGAAGAGGAGGAAGGGGAGTAATACTTATTTGTTAAGCTTCTGATTGTACTTCCGATTGTGTGCTTGATCATTTAATTTCTTTATTCCATTTGTATTTTTGTAACAAGTTGTGGTGAAGCTTTATTTTCTCCACAGAGAGGAAACCGAGTCTCCAGCAGTTGACTCCCTAGGCCAATATAACATCATCAGCTAGTGCTAAGTAAGGTTGGGATTCTAAACAACATCGGAAAATTGTACTAGTCTGGCCCTGGAGGGTGTATGTTTCTTAGCTAGCTCTGTGACTGTAGATGTGTCACAGCTCCTTGGCAAGTCTCTTAATGTCTCTGCTCAGTCACTTCTATATCTATTAAGTGAGGAGCCTGTGAAAGGTCTCATGTATAAGGGCCAGAAATGACATAAACAAAAGTCCAAAGTGGTCAAAGACTGCAGCCGACTGGCTGATCGCCCTGACTGATAATCAGTTCTGACCAATTAATATCTGGAAACACAAAGGTGAAATTTCACTGGCCTAATAAAATACCCTCACTTACTTTGCTATCAGAAATGGAAGATTCTCACACCAGCTTTTTCCTTGATACAAAATCAGTATGTGTGAGTAGCCCAGAATTGTCTAGTTTTTCATTCACTGAATAAGCAGATAGGAAGTGGGAGGAGGAGGAGGAGGAGGAGGAGGAGGAAAAGAAGTGCTTCCTTTCTGTTCCTTGGTGTATTTGGGAAGCGGACTGGAAAACGAGACACAGAGGCCCAAGGGGGAAGCGTGCAGGAGGTTATGATACCTCTGCAGGATGGCCATCATGGAAGGTCTGTTTTGAAGTGAAGGTGGACCCTTCTCAAGGCCATTTGTCCTCTTCTTCTGCCCAGTCCAGAGGAACCTGTGGCCCTTCTTTGGATCTGCCTTCCATAGAAACCTCCTCCAGTCACAGCTGTATTCTCTTTAATTCCATTCAGCTATCAAATGCAATGTGATTCATATCCTGGCCCGGGGTCAGCCTTCTCCACATGGAAGCCATGCAGCCTCACTCTTACCCTTCTTTGCTGTTCATCTAATGCATGTTAAGCTGACTTTTTAAAGTTGGGGAACAAATGTTTCATTGTATGCTCAGTTAGGAAGGATATGCCATATCCATGAATCAAACTCACTTGCAGTGTTTAGGATTTTTAATCACCTTCCAGGAGGACTTAAGGGGCGAGCAAAGCTTTTGGCTGGGGTGAGGAGAATGAGCATTTGTGACCATCATCGTGAGGCTGAGATTAGCCAGGCCCCAAATGAGGGCAGTTCCTGGGAACAGGCTGCTTTCCTTAGCCACAGCCAGCTGTCTCCCAATGCAGTAGCTTCACCCTTTCTACTCAGGTGAGCAGGGAAGACCCTTTTCAATGAAGTATTTTTGAATCCTTGGAGGAGGAGCTCCAAAGAAAGAGATGCTGAATATATATATATGGTTTTTCTAAGAAGCAGCTTTTACCTCTTCCTTTTCTGTGCAATATCCTGCAGTGCTTGGGGGACATTTTCTGAGAACATTCTTAAAATAGAGGCATGGAAACCAATCTGTCAGGTAGAAGTGTGCAGGCGGTGAAACCCTGGTTACCGTGACACCAAGCTGGGACGTGAGTTATCTTGTCCTGCCACACTGATTCTGGTTGGAGGGGCACAGGGGGTACTTCAAGGGCCTAAGTGACCTTGGCTGCCTGGCCAGAGGCCTCATATGAGAATTCCTAGCCCAGCTTGTCCTTGACCCTTGCTGCTTTGGTTCTAGGCATCTGGAAGACAACCAGGTCAGCATCATTGAGAGAGGCGCCTTCCAGGATCTGAAGCAGCTGGAGCGGTTGTAAGTAACGCACAACCCCTGTCTTAAATAGTGTTTTTGATTTGTTTGCTTCTTTTTTTTTTTTTTTTTTTTTTTAATTACCCTGAGAGAGCTGGGGTCTCCACAGAGGTCTGTGGCACCTGAAAAATTATATTTGGTGAAAGTGCTCTTTTAGTTTCAAACTTCCTGATTATGTTTTTTTTTTGTTGTTTTTTTTTTTTTTTTTTTTTTTTTTTTTGTAAATTGGTTTTGTGGCCTTGCTAAAAACAACTTTTTAGTGTTTAATGACATGTTTGCCTTTATATTTAAAGCCCATCAAATGCATGTTATAGAGACACTGAAATCCACTTAAACTCCTTTTCTTGAAAAGATGCTGGGGTCTACACCTGGAATTTGTTTTTTCTCCTCCCCAGTTTGAGTTTGCTCTGTGTTTCTGTATGTGGGGCTGCTTTTGAGGCAAGCCTCAGCCTTCTCTTCCACAGAGGAGGGAAGCCTGTACTTACCCTGTCATGGAAGCCAGAATCACATACTCCCTACTCCTCCACAAGGAGCTCAGACTCCTCCCAGGTCCCCTCCTCCCAGACTCCTCAGCTGCACTATCATGGGAGAGGCAGGATGGGCAGGTGGGAGCAGCCCTTGGTGTGCCTGTTCTTCCTGGAGTGAGCATCAGCCTCTGCTCGGAAGCCCACACGTTTTCATGAGAGAACACATCACCAGTAGTTTAAAAATAGTCCACCATTCTGACTCCATCAGAGAGAGGGAGCAAAAGAGGTGGGACAGGAGATGGATGGGGTCTCCATTTATTCTGCTGATGAATACTTTTGCAGTAAACTCTAGGGTCACTTTGATGAGGAGGGCTGTTCAGATGGTTAAGTGGGCAGCTTCACTTTCCCTCAGTTAATCACATCTGGCAGCTCATAACATCTGGATATTTGCTTTCTGCCCTCTGAGCAGGGATTGTCCCCAGGAGCACTTAGTCATGCTGGTGGGTGGCTCTCATCAGTGCTTCCCTCTGCGTCCTTGTTGCCCTGACATTTCAACCCCTTCTCCTTCTGCAGTTAGGGGACGTGGTTGTAACAGTTCAGAGTTCTGCTAGTTTACCTAGAAGAATTCCACTCTGTTCACCTGTCCTGTTGCCAGATCTTATTTACAGAGATAGATGTGGATAAAGTAGAATGCCTGCCACCAATTTACTAGCTTTGTGATGTGCTATTTTTTTTTTTCCATGAAGTTATTCCATCTGAGGCCACCTGGGAAAGGGGAAGGTCCTCAGTTTATGAATGTTGCTATCACCTAGCAAGATGCTTTTCTCCTTCCTGCTATGTGGTGGATGGTCTCCTTTATTGTTTCCCTTGAGATCAAATCCCAGCATATGTTATACTGTCATTAGTTTGAGAATGTGACATTTATTTCTTGCAAGGGAAAAAAAGTTATAAAACCAATGAATGTTGCCTGTGTTTACACTTTGTTTTTTAAGTTTTGTAAACTTGAATTCTCATTTAGGTCAAAGAAAACATGAAGTATTTATTGAACCTGATTCCCCTGTATGAAATAATCAACATTTACATGAAAAGATAAACACACAGCCCTTTGTAAAAAGGCATCCCCTTGCTTAGTCTTCTGATTATAAAAGTATATAAGTTCCCGATTCATTAATTTTGTGGTTGTTGGGAAGGAATTAACCGAGACCATTGAACACCAGGAACTATGCTAGTTTTTACATGCTATCATTGTTTTCAGTCCCACAAAATTCCTATGAGGTGCTGTTACCCTATTTTTACAGATGAAGAAACAAAGGCCCAGGGATATCAAGCCAAAGAATTGTCAAGCATGGGGAGCAAGACTCAAAGCCACATCTGTCTGACATCAAAGCCGTGTCTTTTCATATTCCTGTGTTGCAGGCATTAGATGAAGTGTGATCTTTAGCAATGGCCCTGCAAATAGCCTCTCACATACCCATTTCACTCCAGGGAGTATCAGTGAATTATTCTGGCAAAAGGCTCTTTTGGCTTGGTGAACAAGGCTGAAATACCATGCATGTCTAGGGACTGACAGGATTACAATTGCAGAATAAACCCGGCTATTCTCTGCTATGGTGTATTAGGTGGGTAATGCTAGCTGCTGTACTAGATAAGCCCTCAAATCTCAGTGACTTAACACAATGGGAGATTACTTCTTTTTCCTGTAAAGCCCACTGTGAGTGACACTGGCAAGACCTCTCTCCTCCAAGCAGAGTCAGTCACACAGGTTCCTTCCACTCCTTGACTTACCATCTTCAAATCTTGGCATCCACAGCATCAGTCTTTGTCTGCATCAAACCAGTGGGAGGGAAAATGGCATAAAGTGAAGGTTTCCACAGCTGAGACCTGGAAGAAGTACCCATCTCTTCAACTCTTACACAGCCGGGTTAGAACTCAGTCGTGTGACTGTAGTACATTGCAAGGGAGACTGGGTCAGGCAGCTGAGCTCTGTGCCCAGGAAGTAGAGGAAACGGGCTGAGTTAATGGCTAGCCAGGTTCTGACTTTTATTGCAAGTGAGCCGGTGAAGAAGTACTTGATCAGGAAGAAGATGGGAGGTATAGGCTCCTAGAGTTGTATGCACCACTGGATGAATACGACACCTCTTGGTGTTAGCAAGAAGGGATGCGTGTATGTGTGTGACATGAATCCTGACTGGTATTAATCTGGTTTCCATTATGCAGTCTGTTCCCAATCAGACTGAGTGACATAAAATGAGAAAATATAATATGTTTGCTGTTAAGAATTGAAGAAATACATGACAGATTGTGCCATCTCTAGCTCTTACTCCTGCTTCACCTTATCTGTGTGTCTGTAATTGATGGTAGACTATTCTTTATTCATCATATTCTGAAATATAGCCTCGAAAATATAAGTTTTGGTAATTCATTTCTGGAGAGTTTATCTCCATTTTAAATGTTGATTATTGGTTTGTTCTTTTGAGGCTTACTGGGAAAGAGGAAGGAAATGTCGTGCAGGTCTCTAGTCACAATTTCTTACTCCCCATGAAAGGATACCTGTGCCAGAACGAATTAAGATGCCTTTGTATTAGACGTTTTTTGTTGCTATAGCAGACTACCCAAGGCTGGGTGCTTTATAAAGAAAAAGAGACTAACTCATTCCGTGAGGCCACTGTCTGTCCTTCAGGAGGGTAATACCCCCATGACACAGTCATCGGCCACTAGGCTCTGCCTCTGAAAGATGCCATGTTAAGGACTAGGTTTTCAACACATCAGTCTCTGCAGGACACACTCAATGAACTGCCAAACCACAACACCTTCCTCTCCCGATAATACATGATTATTCCTATCACAGAACTTATGAAATTGTATTTCAGTCACCTATTTTCCAGATCATCTCCCCTCAAAACTAGAAGTATGTTAAGATCTGGAATCATGTTCCATTTAGTTCTTAATGTCAAATCCTTGAACAAAGTATGATAGTAAGTGCTTGAGGAATATTTAAAATAATACTCGAGTTTTTGGTGCATGCTATTGATTCTGAGCTAGGATGAATTTCGCTTCCCAGATGACACTTGGCAATGTGTGGAGACATGCTCGATTTTCACAAGTGGGGGGTGGCACCTCATGAGTAGAGGCTGGAGGTATTTCAGAATATCCTAAAATGCATAGGAGATCTGCACAAAGAATTAGCCAGCCCAAATGTCAGTAGTGCCGAAGTTGAGGAACTCTGCTATTTGTCCATTCTGTGCCAGATAGCACATTAAATACTATATGTGTGCTATCTCACTTACTCCACACAAGAGTATTATGAGTCTCAAATATTTGTATTCCTGGGCCAGGCATTTAGCACAGTGGCACTGCTCCTGCCTCGCAAGCGCAAGGTTTTGAGTTCAATCCTTGGTACCCCCCAGAAAAATTCATATTCCCGAGATAACAAAATATAAAAGCGCTGTCTGTGAAATATTGTTGCTAAATATTTTCACCCTAAATCTACTTTAGCTAGATAGCATTTCTGGCTTCTAGAAAGTGACTGAGATAGAGGATGAAGTGAGTTGGAGGATGAAGCAGAGAGAAGACAAACAAATGAGATAAGTGAGCCATGCTAAGAGATGACTGCTCTGGTTTCTTAAAAAGCTCAGCATCCTGAAAAGGATAAGAAGTGCCTGTTCTAGATTAAAAGAAGCTTAGATAAAAACAGCAGCATAAAAGTGAAGAGAGTCACTCAAAGTGTTCAAAAACCCTTGAATTATCTAGAAAGTGGTAATGCTAATATTTATAACCTTATTAAATCAAAGAGGCATGTTATAATCTATAGGATGGCCTTTAAAAACAATAGTAAACAATTATAATAACTCAGTAGAGGGAGAAGGAACATGTATGATATACCAGTATATGAGATAAAGGGAAAGAAACATAATATAGAAGTAATAGGGCAAATAAAAATCAAATATTAAGATGATACATGCAGACATAAGTATATCATAATTAGTTAACCTGTACAAATGGATTGAAAGATATAGGTTGTGTGCTGGGGATATAGCGCAGTGGTGCTGCTGCCTGCCTTACAGAGTTCGATCCCAGTACGAAAAAAAGAAAAAAAAAAAAGACATAGGTCACCAAAGTGGAATAAAAAAGAACTAGCATTTATGTGCTTCTCAAAAGGACAACTATTAAATATAAAGATAGAAAAAGTTGAAAGTAAAAGGACTGAAAATAGACAAAAAGATAATTGTTGTAGCTCTTCTGACACTGGATAAAATGATTTTTTAAAAAGAAACGTTATTGGGTATAGACAATATTTCATAATGATAAAGTTAAAAATACATTATGAAGAAACAACAAATTTAAATTTGTATGTGTCTAAAAACATACCCTGAAAATATAAAGCAATATTGACAAAACTAAAAGAATATTGAGACCCTTTCTCAATGGTGGATGCATCTCACATATACAATTATTAGTAACACGTAGAATATTTTAAGAATAATACTTACAGATCTGACCAAATTGATACATAGATAACACAACAAGAAACACCTG